CTAGGTAACATCTTCAGTGCTAGAATGGAATGGGATTTGCTCTCTGTTTATATACTGTGGCCTGCCTTGCCAATGTTGGTGGGGGTGGGGGTTTTGTTTTGTTTTTTCCCCTCTGGTAGTTCCTTGATTAGGGTATTGACTCCACAGTTCAACCCTGAGGTTACACATATTCGCTTCTATTGGTACAGTTCTGTGCCTTGCCTTTCAGTCTTGCACTTCGCCAAAACGAGGAGGGGAACTCGGGTCTGTTTTTTGCCTTTCTAACAGTCACTGTTCTTGGGATGAGGCAAACCAAACTAGAGAAGCCTCTATTATCATTTCAGGCATTATCATTTTTTTTAATTTAAAGCCCAGGATAGCAGGTGGATCTTTTCTTCACATAAGAGGTTAGAACAATATGCAGGGATCCTGGCTCTCCAAAGCACGTGATAGAGAGAGTTGTGATTTTTCTCCCTTCCCAGTGGAATTTTTGCGAAACCTCTTTTCCCGGACCCTGGGCTTTGGCAGCGAGAAGCCTGAGAAAGTGCTGGAGGAGCTGACGTTGGAAGGCGTGACCAAGTTCATGCTGACAGAAAAATGTAAGTCAGTTCTCTCTAGAGACCGAAGCATTTTTGCTCTTCCCTCTTTGGTGTCAGCCTCAGGAGTTGATGAAAAGGGAGTGGAAGAGAGAGCTTGTGACTGGGGGAGGGCGGCGGTGTAGATGTAGAAAAGATATGAGGGAGGTTTGGTGCCCCTATCGTGCTGTAGATAAATGCTGTTAACGCTTTTCAGTGTATTTGTACTTGCTCACCTGTGGTCATTGATGTTTTCCGTTTTACAGATAGGGATTGCTCTTGACAAAGGTAATTTGCTCAGGGTCATGAGAAGGTGTTTAGTCAGGCTCTTAGCAGAAGAATTTGAACTCCAGCCTCGGAAATTCTGTGGCCTGTCAACTAAGTTGCACTGGCTGCAGTGGTTGGATACCTATGCCAAATATTGATGCTGCTCAGGATATGGGTGTGGTATAGTGTAATTGAGGGGTAGGTGTTAAAAGGCCCTTCCTGCTCTTTCTCTTGCAGGCAAGAATGTAATCTGTATGGTTGGTGCAGGAATCTCAACTAGTAAGTGTTAACGATGGGTTTACTGGATACGTGTCATTTTTGGGTTTTGTGAAAATGAAATGAAGGAGCAGAATGCGATACTGGTTGATAAAATCAGAAACTGCGTTTACATACTTAGGGGTCAGAACAGAAGAAGCTTCTTTCTACTAAATTTAGACTGTGGGTCTGTCTGCAGGCTTGTTCAGGCTACTCTGGGAGCAGTAATCCAAGATCTCAAAGAAAGGTCTGCTCATATCCTGCCACTTGAGATTTAGTTTTTTAATTAGGAAATAAGTGAAAATTGGCCCTGGGTTCTTATACCTACAAGACATTTATTCTGCTCCTGACCCACGGTTTCTCCCAGGATGAACTACTGTATCTGAAAAGCTGCATAATGGACATGCCTGGCTTTAGGTCTCTGTGTTGATGGAAGCTTACAGGCATCGCATTGTTTTTAGCAGCAAGTAATTCTCACCTAGTATTGATAAAGAGATCTTTAGCCAGTTTAGCATCTGTTTACATTAGTAGCCTTCAAACGGTATGTGATGCAGTCCTGAGTTTCCCATGCAGTCTTTTCTGCAATATACAGATGAATGTTAGCAACCGTGAAGTGTAACTGGCCTGGGTAATACCTTCCTTGAGATATGCACGGAATATAAAACCCATGCTAGAACCTTTGTTTTCTTTAATAGACCTGTCTGTGTGGGAAGTCATGGTGACAATTGTTGAAACTGGCAGGTGTAGGTCGTGCTTTAAACTGATAGTTTAGTTTGATTCAGCAGAGTGCCTCTTCTGAAC